CTTGACGAATCGAACAACTGTGTTCGATAACGATCACTCGTCGTCGCCGACAAGTGATCCATGACGGATTTTGGAGGCATCCATGCCTTCTTCTCAGGAGCGAGACGCAACACATTGCGTTCCTGCTCTTCCTGCGATGTGCCGACAGAAGTACTGGCACCTCGCTGTGAAGTGGTGTCAATAGGAGAACTGACACCACTGTTAGCGCCCGAGTCTCGCGACCTCGAGCGCCTTCGCTTCGGCGATGGTTCATCTGATTCATCAGATGAACCAAAAATGCTACGACGCATAGCATCATCCATGCCACGCTTGGCAGGCGGCTTAGATTCAATCGCCGTCGATACGTCATCCGTATCAGGAGAGTACGAGACACCGAGCTCGTACTCTGTGAAGACATGAGTGTCTTCATGACCAGCGCCTGCATCACCAAGCGACACAGGCTGAGTCGCTTCAGCAACCGATGAGACATAAGTTGCTGTTGTTACTGCTTCGGCGTCCGCACAGAGACGTGCGGACGCGCTCTCGGCGGCCTTGCTCGCGCATCGCATGGGCTTGTTAACCATGCGATGAATTGTTGGAAAGTGGACTCGGACCAACAAGTGCAAACCATGTCCCAAATGATTTGGAACGAGTATCCATTTAGTCAATCAGTCACTAAAGTGACTGATGGTTAAGGGGGGGTGATGTAACGGGGTGAATCGTTACATAACAATTTATAAGAAATTGTTAATAGAATATAACTATCAGAGTTATATTCTCAGAATATTATCATAAGGACAAATATTCTGTAGCACTTACGAGTAGTTCCTAATTGGTTGATATAGGCCATTATATCAACCAACGAAGACGCGCTACGACAGACGCACGCAATGAGTGGTGAGCAGATAGTTGGTATGCACATTTGCATTCAGACATAGTTAGATGATGATAAATAGTGGTTTATTAACAGACTTTGACTATTATAAATACAGTTCTACTTTTTACTTTAACCAAGTACTCGCTTCTTCTTACCGTCTTCCTCTGCACGTACGAGTGTACGTGAAGTCACGAGGCACCGCCTTATTCTGTCATCAGAATAAGTAGCTTGTACTGTCATCAGAATAAGTAGCTTGTACTGTCATCAGTACAAGCTTCAGGGTGCCCCGTTACGATTCAGATCCACCGATCTTTACTTGGCGTGGACACACAACAGAATCAGTTCAATAACCGCCGTGTAACCCCGTTACAGAGTCGATAAAGGGATCGTAGAGCAGGTGCTGGATGCGGTAGTGAAAGACCGAGTTTGTATTTCGCAACTAATCACTTACCCGGAACGCCGCTTCCCGATTACTGGTAATGTGATCTGTGGCCAAGCTGCCTAATGTAAATGTTTTCATGACAATAGTGACAAATTCAACGTCCACAAAGCCATTCCAGTGCCTGCACCTTTACTCGAATGGTGGAGGCGGCTTACTCTACGTCAATACGGGGTTAGGGGCCCTTCGTACATACCTCTTGCTTAACTTCCAGCCGTTGTCAGCGAACTGCAGTTCCAAACACGACATCAGTCAGAGCTTCTGCGGAGCGTTCTTTGGTTCCGGGAGCGTTACCAATACCGTCGATGATACTTTCTTACCGTCTTAATCTCTTTGCTGCAACGACTTCTCCGCATCTGGTGCATCGCGCCTGTCTATGATTGCTGCGTAAGAAAGATAGATGTTACCATCACATCATCGTGGTAGACTCTAGTAAAGTCTTCGTCAAGAAGCTCTCTTAAGATTTAAAATACGGGACATACCGCTTCTATGTCAACAAACGCGAAGACGTGAGCTTCACGATTGCGCGAGCAGGAGGAGTTCCTCGACTGCAAATTGGCCAAAGTGCGAGCCATTACGTCATGCCGCATCGTTTTTGGCTGCTGTTGAGATTAAAGCTGGACTGACGTGACAGTTGCTCCACTTTGCTGGTCATTTAAACCCGCTTGCAGTCTTCGTCACTCAGATCCCTGTAGGTGACCACAAAACCGTCGAGTTGCCTCCCGCACTCGCTAGAAGGTGACGTTTTGGGTTCCACTGCAAGTCTACAACCGGACCGTTGTGTCCTTGAGGAAATGCGTGCACAAGCTCGCCAGTCGAGCTTTTGTACAAAAACATTCGACCATCCTCCGCTCCAGTGACTACATATGCACCGTCAGTGGAGTAACAGCACCCGAGCAGAGGATCGTCGCGTTCCTTTTGAGTGAGCCCATGCTCCTTGAATAGATGCAGCAGCTTGCCTTCAAACGCATCCAGATGCAGGAACATGCCACGGTTTGTTGCAACGAGCAGTTGGTTGCCATCCGGACTGAATTTGAGGTCGAGCGCATGCATCTTCGTTAAGCTCAAGTCCGGAACCTGCGATTGAGCGAGGAATGGCTCAACGACCGCCAGAATTGATGCGTCGTAGAGCGAGAACTTGGCGAACGGTCCTTCCTGGTAGTTCCTCGCATCGTACATGCGGATTAGGTGGTCGTCCGTGTACACACCAAACACCACGCCCTCCTGGTCATACGCAGCGCAGACGTGCGACACCGGCAAGTGGTCGGTCCGGATGATCGCCTAGACACACATGCGAGTCAATTTGTCGTCAATATTCTCACCACATGGTGCTCAGAGGTTGAGTACATCTCGTGACGCACCGAAGTGTCAGAGTTGCGAATGTCCCATAAACGAATCGTGCCGTCTAATCCAGCAGAAATAAACTGATCCACAGTGGGATGCATCATGAGCGACGTGACCCTGTCATCATGCAGGTGGTTGCAGGTGTGCAACCTTAGTACGCTCCTGCATGGGGGGACCATTCATTCGATTCTATCATATGCACCTGTCCGTGTGACCAGTGTAGTACCGAAGGAACTTGTTGTCGAAAAATAAATGGTATCGTATCCGGTCTATTAAAACGCAGCAGCAGCAACAACAGCAACAACAACAACATTATCACTTATAAGTCAGGAATGCCACTTGTAAATCAATACCGCAATAGAGACGACCGTACGGTCATTGGCAGTGTTCGCAGATGAGAAGATGACGCAGTCGAGATGATGAGTGAAGCGCACAATGCCGACGCCGTATCGCTTGGTCAAGATCGTCTTCGCCACGCTGGCAACCGGTCAAACACATAGCCACGATCAGTTCTGTTCAGCCACGCGTCCAGTATACCAACCCACGCCTCGTACGTGCCGCTCAGACAATTGATCATGGACATGACTCCATCGCTGCGACTCGTGACGCAGCGTTCGCCGTCGCGGTGGAAATCCAGAGACGTGACCTGCAGGTTCGGCACCACTTCATCTACCTGCGTGCATCAGCAGAAAGCACCAGTCTCCACCAATGAGCAAATGTGCAGCTAACAGCGACATTTGATCCGTTTACTATGGTCTGGTACGTCGTACTGATGGAGCGAAGTTGCGGGCGACGCTATAGGAGCACACGACGGAATCCGAGAGTTCTACTCCGTCCACCATGTTAACGTGCACTTTGACCCGCCAATATGCCAGCTGAGAGGATGGCAGTCAATATGCCAGTAAAGAGGAATGGAATGCTGCCAATATGCCAATGATAAGGAATGCTGTCAATATGCCACGTCGTAGGCCCAACAACGGGGGACTGATTCCGGTTGACAAACAAGTGTGGACCAAACTACCGACTGCGACTGGACTAAACCTCACTGCGACTGGACTAAAACCCAAACGCGTCCAATCCAACTCGCTGACTCCGAAACCAGTCCACCCCATTAGCCTGACGAGCCCGTCCACGTCAGCAGCAGCAACAAGCCAAGCCAAGACAAGCCAAGCCAACACAAGACAAGCCAAGACAAGGGAAGCCGAGCCACGATCATGTCGGGCGGGCACCTGTCGAAGGAGTTCTTTGAGCTGGTCAAGTCCATTGGCGAGAGCAAGTCCAAGCAAGAGGAAGACCGCATCATCCTTCACGAGGTGGCGCTCCTCAAGCGCAAGCTGAACGACGTGACGGCGTCTTCCAGCACGTCCAGTGGCCTCGTGAACAAACGCAAGCGCGAGTTCCTCATCCGTCTCATGTACGTGGAGATGCTGGGCCATGACGCGTCCTTTGGCTACATCAAAGCCGTCGAGATGACGGCCAGCACGAACCTCATGCAGAAACGGGTGGGGTACCTCACGTGCAGTTTGTGCCTGTCGCCCACGCACGAGTTCCGGTTTATGATTATCAACCAATTGCAACGCGATCTGCAGAGCTCCAACCACCTCGAAGTCTGTGCAGCGCTCATGGCTGTGTGTAAACTCGTGACGGTCGAGATGGTGCCAGCTGTGCAGCCTATGATCCTCGATCTTCTGCGGCACGACGCCGAACTCGTTCGGAAGAAGGCTGTGATGGCCATTCACCGCTTCCACCAGCTCAATCCCGAGTCCGTCATGGACGTTGGCGTCGCTCTGCGTCGCACGCTCTGTGATCGTGACCCGAGTGTCATGGGAACGACGCTCTGTATTTTGCATGATCTGGCAGAAGCTACGCCCACGGACCATAAGGATCTTGTACCCAGTTTTGTCAGCATTCTCAAGCAAATCACCGAACGCCGGCTGCCTCGAGAATTTGACTATCACCGCATTCCAGCACCGTGGATCCAGATTCGTCTTTTGAAGATCTTGGCATTGCTGGGTCAGGCGGATCAGCAAACCAGTGAGGGGATGTACGAAGTGCTGCACGTTGTCATGCGTCGAGCTGACACTGGCATTAATGTCGGGTACGCGATTATCTACGAGTGCGTGCGGACTGTGACGACTATCTATCCGAACAGTATGCTGCTGGATGCGGCAGCTGCGAGTATTTCTCGTTTTATTTCGAGTGACAACCATAACCTGAAGTATTTGGGTGTTACGGGACTTGCAGCGATCGTGAAGGATCACCCGCGGTATGCCGCTGCGCATCAAATGGCCGTTATCGACTGTCTTGAAGATCCTGACGAAACAAACACTGAAGCATAAGACACTAGACCTGCTGTATCGCATGACAAATCCCGTGAATGTCGAATTCATTTCGGACAAGCTCACCCAGTTTCTTCGCGAAGCTACAGACGTTTTTCTCCGCACGGAACTCGTCTCGCGTATCACGCAGTGTGCCGAACGCTACGCACCAAGCAACGCATGGTACATTCAGACCATGACGAATGTATTTGAGCTGGGTGGCGACCTCGTGCGCTCTGAGGTGGCACACAACCTGCTGCGTTTGATCGCAGAAGGAAGTGGTGAAGATGAAGATCAGGATATGGAACTGCGCCGTGACGCGGTGGATACGTACCTTGAATTGTTGGAACGCCCCGTGCTGCCAGACATATTGGTCTGCACCATGTCCTGGGTCCTTGGCGAGTATGGCTACTTGTCGGACGCTATGGAGCTAGAGGAGATCTGTGAACGTCTCGTAGAGCTGGTTGATCGTCCGTTCAGTCAAGAAGACACCACGCATGGCTACGTACTGTCGGCCGTGACGAAGATCACCGCTCGAATGGGACATACTATCGATGTTGCCGACGCTATGATGAAGAAGTACAAAAACAGTCGGAGCACAGACCTGCGGCAACGCTGCTTTTCGAGTATCTTGCGTTTACGAAAAACTTTCCCCTGATGAACGAAGTCTTCCCCGAAGATGCGAGTTGCGAAGATATTGAGGTCGATCCCAACCTCTCTTTTCTTACGAGCTTTGTTGAGAAGGCTGTTGCTCAGGGAGCATCACTTTATGATCCACCTGAGGACTCGGATGATGATGACGAGAGCTACGGCCACCGTCGCAATGGCGGCGAATCGAACCGATTGAATTTTGAGGCGTACAAGAAGCCTGAATTTCCGTACCCGACCAAGCTTCCACTCGCAGACCAGCAGGGGGCGTTTGGGGTTAACAAGTGGGGTAGCAACAACGTCCCGGGTGGTGCGCCCGGGCTCGGCAGTTCTGGTGGCGCAGATCCTACCGGAGGCTTTGGTGCTGGAAAGCGAGGAGTTGTCAAGAACGTATCACGACACGAGCGCCAGCTGATGGTCAATGCTGATAGCATCTAGTTGACTGGCAAGAAGTTGTTGGTGTTGCTCGAAACGTTGCTTCTGACGCTTTGCTATAGTGTTTGGCCACTTGTGCGACGGTTCCGAAGAAGATGCCATTGGAGGGTAGGACTGCGATTGCATCATTACGGCCACCGTGGGCGGCATCTGTGGCTACCGTCTACATTTGTTTACCTCACGATTGCGACGGCTTTGTTTTGAGTGCTTGAGTGAGAAATTTAAGCACAAGAAGAGCGTGATTACCTCATGCCAAAGGATTACGAAGTGACACAGTCTTTGGATCTGAGCACCCGTGTGTTGGCGAATTTGGTCATGCGGGTGAGATGGGAGGCTCTTCTCGGTTACGACCGGGAACGAGGACTGTAGAGCCTCTCCACAGCTGCTCCGATGTGACCGCCCTGGTGACCAAAGTGATTGGCGACGCCCGTGTCTACCTCACTGTGACGTTCATCATGCCAAACATTGATAGAACGAGTGGCGTCTGATGCAGACCACCTATCATGGTGTTTGGCTTGATTCTGGATGGCCCTGAATCGGCCAAAATTGCTCCGCTTGTGCCTCAGGCGCTTGGCTTCTTGATGAGCTGCATGGCCTTTGACGTCGTCTTTGTGCGTGACACTGGACACTTGACCACATCTGTGAGCTGCACGACTGGTACATCCGTGACGAGATGGTGCCCGGAGTTGTGTAGTTCCTGCTCGAGGAGTTGGACCAGAAGCCGCTTGTGCGGTGCACAACGTTTATGTCACGTCATACACAACTTGTCGAATGCCGTTGAGGAGTCGGTGACGGATGCGTGTACATGCTGGCTTCGCTTCCAACGCGCTATTCAACCAGCGGGTCGAGAGCAAACAAGCGTCACAACGCATTGAAGAACAACTTGCACTAGTCAGCGCACAAGTCCTTGAGCATGTCCGTGCCTGCTGGCGCTGTCACGGTGAATCAGCTCATCATGTTGTGTCTCCTATGATGCCGGAGCGTCTGGAGCAGATCACAAAGACTTTAAACAGGAACGCAAACTTCGACTGCTAGCAAGAGCTTCGCTCACGAACGTTTCAAGCATACCTCCCGCCCCCAAGACCGCATCTTCTTCGCGCATGACCATGTTTCTGTCGGCTGCTTCTTCCGCCCGTTCCTGATGTGCCTGGCGGACTCCATGTTGAACGCACTCTATTCACCGCCAGGTCGTCGTGGGCGGTCGCTAGAGATGTGGTTCGACAGAGTATGATGGAGATTGTCGTACAGCTCGTGGTGGAATAAAGGTCCAAATGAAGCTGATGAACATAATGCATCTGTGTTGACAATGCAATGGAAGCGTCTAAAGACAGCAGTGAATGAAGGGGACTCCATTCGTGTTGCATTATATTAGCTGTAGACGTATCTATGCTACCATACAAGTTCGACGTGTCACCGCGTGCTTCGTGTTCGAGCCACCTACCGCGGTGAGATGTTAGTGCCTTCGGCTTGTCTTTCGAACTCCGCACCGAGAGTGGAGAGCTCGCTCTTGATTAAAATAGAGCAGGTAATATTTTAAAATAAGTTGGTAAAAATTCAGCATCAATCATTTGATGCTGAAAGTTGGTAAAAATTCAGCATTAAATGATTGATGCTGAATTGCTACCAACTTTTTTTAAAATATTATCTGGTTTTTTAAGTTTTAGTGGACTATTTGGCGCTTTTTACTTATATTTTTTAGATTTAAATTTTTATATAATTTGTACATTTCTAAATATGAAATTTATTTTTATGATCTTAAAATCGAAAATGGTATTTTGATAAAAATTTATTATGAGCTTATTAATCAATATATTTAAAAAAGGGTTGTGGACTTTAGTATGGAAGTGTAACAGGAAAGTGCAATGTGCTGTGAGTGTTATGCAATGCTTTTGCAATGTCTTGTTGTTTGTGCGAGAAATTTGGGAATTTCCCCGAAACAACGATTGATCTAGGTATAATAACAGTACCGAACACCTAATATTCAGTCACATTGAAAAAAGAGTTTCAGGAGAAAAGCTATTAACGTTTTAGTCGAAAAATGTTGAAAAGTGATGAAAATTCATGTTTTTTATTGATTTTCACATCAAAATTTGAAATTTTGTCCGAAAAGTTTATGCCAATCCGAATAATTACGCTAAGGTGCGAAATTTTACGGAGATTACGAATCTGCTCGATTTAAACGATTTGCATCATTTTTGACTTCACGGTAGTCAAACGCGCGATCATTTCGGTACAAAATCACGTTTTTCGTCGATTTTTAGGCATAAAAATGAGTCTGTACAATAAAGTACCAAAATTCAGCTTGATGACGATAGCTGACGAGAAAGGGCATTAAAAATACATCTGTAGCTCCATCTCCTTCCTTTGCCATCGCTTTTAATTTCTCTTTGAAAGCGTCCAATCCACCGTAGCGATGGACGATGGTTTGATAGTACAGGTTATTTACCCCAGTTCGCGCCTTCGACCTTTCCGACGGCCTCGCAAAAGACCTTCAGGACGCCGTAAGCCGACTCATGTCCTTCGATTAGAGATTTTGCGGAGTCAACGTCTATCTTTAATAGCGTAAACACTTCGGCAGAAGTTAGTTTGGCTAAAATCCACTTGGATATCAGCAGCGTCAAGCACTTGTCCCCAAAAGCTTTCAGCGATGAATCCGCAGCGTTCCGCAGATCGTAGAGCCATATGGCCACTTCACGTGGGTCTTTCGTGCCAATTTAATCAATGACGATTCCAGTGTCGCGCTCAGACCTTGTCATTAGTTGCAGCATCGCGGCACTCGGCTTCACCGCGATCGTAAGCTCACCACCATTTAGTGACTCTTTGAACGCTTCAATTGCCTCGACATTACTCGCTTTCTTTCGCGGCGGCTTGAAGCAGCTCACAACCGACTTGATCAAAGTGGCTGGCCACTCAAACAGTCCCCCGGACCTCGGTAGTTCGTCGGAAGGAAAGCCGTCGTGCTCGGCAGTCAAAGTTAGGGCAGCTGGTTCTTGGCGTCCTATCATCGGGGAACCGGCCGCTCCAAAGACGCCGTCGGCGTACGGCGAGGAAAATGAAGCCAAAAGGACGAGAGTAAAAAATAGCATGGACAGCCAGGAGGTCTTAGCAGGAGCGGTAAAAATACAAAGCAACTAAATTATTTGCTTTCCATGTCCTTTCAATTTCGTTGGCGGTAGAGAATCAATGGTCGAGAGACACCCAGGATCTGGTGGACCCGGAGCCAGCGAGCACCCAGGAATTCCCAGTGTATCTCACGCTCCGTTTGTTGACAATCCAGCCGTACTACTATCTGAGCAGCTCAGCCTTGCGTAAATGGCAAGTTGATTTACAGAGAACTCAAGACACGGGAGTGTACGCTCGGTGGCTTCCACGTCGATCGCTGTTGGAAGACAGTAGGATTCATAGCAGACAGTGCACCGCACGAGTCATATTGTAACGGGGTTACACGAAATTATGGTACTTTGTATCAGAGTGTTACACACCTGAGGGCACCCTTCTGTGAAGGTGATATAGAATATCTTATCGGTTTGTAGGGGCTGACGAGTGTCAGCCATTAGATACGAAAGATCTTTGAGTAGGATTAAGATATTCTATAGGAGTTAACCAAAAATAAAACCAGTTCCCATTTTGATCTGAAAGACACGTGGCTTGCGAGCCGTCTTGATCGTTGATCTCTGATCACTAAGAGTTAGCAACACCTCCTTGAGGTAGCTACTCGTGAGCACTAAGTGCTGTCGATTCACTGAATCGTTAGGTCCCCCTGGAACAGGGATCTGAAGCTGTAAAGCTTGTTGACTCGTAAAGTCGTTAGTTCTTTAGAACTAAGTTGCTCGTAGAGCGTTAAGTCTTCCTCTGACTTAAGGAGCTGTGTAGCTCCGCTATACTTGGTAGCACTAGTAGTCAATTTACGCCTGAGTCTTTAAGACTGATCCTCTGTGAGGATGGAAAAACTCCACTCCCGTATCTGAGGCCCAAAAGGTCGCGCTTGATAAGCTGACCGCATCTTTGGGTCCAGAGTACGTGGAGTTCCTTGTTTCACAAGGTTTTGGAGTGCTTAATGCACGTGTTGAAAGCTTCATGCAGTATGAAGCGACCCTTTTAGGGCAGGTCCAAGACCAAATAGCGCCGGCTATGCCCACACGCTACGTGTCTGTACCAGACAAAGAGGATAAGCCTCGTCCACTTAGAGTGGAAGTAAAAACTACTCCGGTAAGGAGGTGAGAACCTCATCCTCTGGATCCGTGAGATCGAGATGGCCATGAGATCAGGTCTGATCACGCATGACCATCAACAGGTCTCGCTGGCTATCTCGAAGCTCGATGGTAGAGCTAGAGAATGGGCCTTGACGTGTAGCACGTCGGTGGACATAGCGTTTCCCACATGGGAGTCGCTCAAGTCACAATTGGTACAGGTGTTATTTCCACCTAACCAGGCTTACCGCGTGCGTTCACGCTTTCTTTCTACCCGCCAGGGTAAGAATGAATTATCGGACTATGTCCAAGAGCTGCGACCGCCCTTGGCTGCAATGCAGTCTGACCCTCTGCCTGAAGCAGTCCATGTGACTATCTTCATGGAAGGTCTACGTACTGGCATTGCCAGAACCGAGGTTTTTCGGGTTCACCCCTCTACGTTTGAAGAGGCTGTGAGAATTGCTCTCAATGCTGAGCATAACTTCAAGTCGGCCAGACTTGGTTGGAATGGATACAATCCTCGCTCTGTGAGAGCAAACTATTCGGGTACCGTTGCCTATAATAGGCCGGAACCGATGGATCTCAGCTATGCTGAAGATGGAGGTGAAGCTGAGCTTCAAGCTTTTGAGCAGCAACACGTCGTACGACGGTGCTTTACGTGCGGAAGCACTAAACACTTGCGGCCTGGTTGCCCTTTGCGTAAGCAACGCCAGGCTACGAGCCAACACTCGACCCCGAGTCAGAAGTCTGGCATGGCACGGGGAAATGCCGACACCCAGTAGGCGCGGGGCGCCCTACTGGGGAAGAACTATGTTCTGTTACACCTTTAGAAGGTAAAGGAATGCAGGGCTTAGCCCCAAAGAGTACCTGCAGGTATGGTGCGTGGATATAAGTCTGGCTTGTTGGTCGCCGAGGCGAAAATTAAGGGCTTTGAAAAGCCTTGGTCGATATTGATCGATTCTGGACCGTCTTGCAATTATGCTCGACGCCGTTCCCTTGATGGAAGTCAGCGTTATGCTGAGGCGCTTACAGCGCATGAGGGCGATTCTATCACGGTTCGTTTAGCGACTGGAAGCCGCGTAACGGTGCCTAAAGTTCCATTGAACTTAGGTATAAAGTTTTTAGACTTTGACAGTATTGAGCGCTGTCTTGTCCTAGATTTGGACTCGAGATATGATCTCATCCTAGGTATGGCTTGGCTTGAGCGCTATGAGCCATAGATTGATTGGAGGTCTAAGACCTTAGGCGCTACGCGCAATGTTCCTAGCGAAGCTTTGGAGAGTCATGAACCCACCTTCGCTAGGCAACAGAAGCGATATTGGCGCGAGCCTTTGACAGAAGATGTCAATGTGCTGAATATTGGAATGTCTGAGTTATCTAACTCCAATGTTACAAACATAAGTTTCGAGCCTAGCTCGTCTAAAACTAGTGAAACGGCACGTACTCCGTTGAGTGGTACTCGTTGTGATAACGAGTCACTGCATGCTGAAAGCATGGTTGGCCTAGGGCCGAGTGATCAAGGATGTAATTTCTTTGATGTGTGTATGGTGGTACGTGAAACTACACCGAGTGCGGTCGGCCGTGAGAGCACCGCACTGAATATCGGTAATGACATTTTTGGCCATATGCCATTTAGTGTGGGCGGCCGTGAAGGCACCACGCTTAACGTCGGTAATGGCGTTGTTGGTGATTCGCCATATAGTGTGGGCGGCCGTGAGGGCACCACACCTAATGTCAATAATGATATTGTTGGCGACACGCCGTATAGTGTGGACGGCCGTGAGGGCACCACGCTTAACGCCGGCAATGGCGTTGTTGGCGATACGCCGTATAGTGTGGGCGGCCGTGAGGGCACCACACCTACTGTCAGTAATGATACTGCTGGCGATACGCCGTATAGTGTGGACGGCCGTGAGGGCACCACACCTAATGTCGGTAATGACCTTATTGGCGAGACGCCGTTAAATTTGGGGCTAGGCCCGCATAATACACGTGGAGTGGCACGTTTTTATCCAATAAGATCTTCTTCTCAAAATGTCCACCCAGCCGCGACCATGCATCAAACTGGGTGAAGTGTTCGAGTTATGTAACACTTCACCGAATGTCGGTCAAGACAAAAGCTCTCGTACAGAGCGTACTATGGTTGGTAGTAACTATGGGGACAATATTGTCCCGTTCCTTAAGGGGTGTAAGTTCTCGAAGAGACGATCGAGACGCCGGGTAGCTATTTTTAAGCGCCAGGCGTCCTCACAGTCACATAGTGATAATAGTATTACACTATATACACTTGTTAATGGAGTGACTGGTCAGGTTGATGGCAGTGTTTGCCTTGAAACCCTTCCATCCGTGGACGCTCTTCGTGAGCTAGACGAATTGTCTGATGGCGATTTTAGCTAGGCCTTAAAGGCAGGAGAGTTATCCGAGTTAGTGGTCATTAGACCTGATACTGAGTTGAACTCTTCCTCGTTAATGGATGAGTCTGTCCTAGAGGATACAAAGGTGCAACTTAGTGCACGAAGTGGATCTTCGATCCTTAAAGAACCTTTGGATCCGTTCTATCCTTTAGTTGAGGAATTTCAAGATGTGGTGTGTCACAACCCACCTTCTGCCTTACCTCCTGATAGAGGTGTACGTCATGAAATTGACTTAGTTCCTGGAACTAAATACTGCGTAACACGGCAGTGGCCTTTGCCTAAAGAACAGTGTGACGTCATTGACGATTTCTTTTGTGCTAAGCACGCGGCTGGAATGGTTCGTGAGAGTGAATCTCCCCGTTCAACACCGACATTTTGTGTCAGAAAGCCAAATGGCAAGTAGCGTATTGCGCATGCTTATATAATAAGCTTAATGCAGCCACTATACCGGCGCAGACGTCTATTCCTAGAAAAGATGTTCTTCAGAACAATATGGCAGGATGTACATTGTACAGTGCACTCGACTTAGTCGATGGTTATTACCAACTGCTCATGCGAGCAAGTGATATTCCGCTAACAGCGGTGAGTACTCCGAGCGGTATGCTCTGGGAGTGGCTCGTTATGCCACAAGGGGCTATCTAACGCCCCGGCTACGTTTAACCGGTTGGTAACGCAACTATTTAGACCTCATCGAGGCTATGCACAAACGTACTTTGATGACATTTTTGTCCATAGTCGTGCAATGAATGGGCGATCAGATGTGGATTACCACATCGATCATTAACGAGCGGTGATCGGGTGTATGCGGAAGAATAAGCTGTATGCGAATGCATCGAAGTGCGTCTTTGGTGCAGAAAAGATTCCCTTGCTAGGGTGCTTAATTGGGAAGCAAGGCCTTCGAGCGGATCCCGCTAAGGTAAAAGCCATAGTCGATTGGCCGGTCCCCAAGAACCAAAAGGACTTGCGTAAGTGGCCTGGCCTTGCCAATTACTTACAGAAGTACAGTGTGATTTACGCAGATATGGCTCGGCCATTGTCCAATCTCCTTAAAAATGATGTGGATTGGTGTTGGAGTAACACCGAACATGATGCGTTTGAAGCAGTTAAGGAGAGTCTCCTTCATGCGCCAATATTGGCTTTGCCCGATCCTAATCGGCCTTTCAGTGTCGTCTGCGACGCATCTGACTTTGCCATAGGCAGTGCTCTGTTACAACAGATGTCGATGGACGCGAACGCGTCATCGCATTCGAGTCTCGGCAGCTGAAAGCTGCCGAAAAGAACTGTCCAGTTCATGACAAAGAGCTGCTTGCTATGAAGTACGCTCTAGTCAAATTCAGAGTACATCTGCTTGGCTCAAAGCCGTTTGTGGTCTATACAGATCATGCGTCATTACGCACTGCGACACAGTCGCCTCATCTCTCACAGAGAATGGCTCGTTGGCTTTCCTTCTTTGCCGAATATAACTTCGAGGTGAAGTACAAGCCAGGTAAGCAAAATGCTTTGGCTCATGCGCTATCGTGTCGACCTGACTATGAGCTTGCTCATGTTACGACTCTGTCGTAGTCGTTCACTGACTTAATCCGTGCGGCATATGCCAAGGATGATCAGTGTGTAGCTTTGCTACGTGCTCTTGGGAGCGATGAGTTCAAAGACTCGGACATAGAATTGTCGGCACGTATGCGTGCGAGGCTACATCGATATTCCATCGATAATGGCCTGTTGTGCTATCGCACGGATATTGAGGATAAGCCTCGTATCGCTGTACCTCATGATGAGGAATTAAAGTATCGAATCCTCTATGAGGCACATGATACTGCTTATAAGTGGTCATCTCGGTCGTGAGAAGACTTATAGCTCGGTAAGCCAAAGTTATTGGTGGCCCAAACTTATAAGTGGGTGAGCACCTATGTGCGTACGTGCGAAACGTGTCAACGGGTTAAACCCTCGGCACATGCGGCGGCGCCACTGGCTAGTTTGCCAGTACCCACTGGTTGTTGGGAGTCCATGAGCATAAATTTTGTGTTTGGCCTACCGAAAGATTCGGAAGGCGACACTGGTATTGTGGTCTTTATTGACCGATTGAGCAAGATGGCTCACTTAGCGGCTGTGCCGGATAGCATCGATGCTGAAGGTACAGCAAAGCTGTTTATCGACCGTGTGTTTCGCCAACATGGCTTGCCTGTGGCAATTATCTCTGATAGAGACCCCCGCTTCACTGGGAAGTTTTGGAAGTCTATCTTCAAGGTGCTTGGCACTCGGTTGGACATGTCCACAGCGGATCATCCGCAGACCGACGGTCAACTGAGCGTGTTAACCGCGTCATCAACGACATTTTGCGCAGTATTTGCGCTGAAATGCCTAGGCGTTGGAGCTCAATGCTCCCTGTTGTTGAGTTTGTGTTGAATAACGCTGTTCATGCCTCAACAGGCTTTACTCCGTTCTATATAAACGGTCTCACCCACCCTCGCGTTCCGTTGACGCTATCACTACGTGATTCAGGGCTTGGTGGGGGAGAGGTTGCCGATAGGCTTGCTGGTATCAGCCCTGCTACCGTTCAAAAACCGGTAGGCGAGTTTCTCGCAACGCGATTAAATGTCCTAAGACACGTGCGTGACGCAATGGCTGACAGTCAAAATAACCAAAACCAACAAGCTGATACCAAAGGCAGAAATTGTATTGAACATTATGAGGTCGGAGACAAAGTTTTACTCAACGCTAAAAATCTACCTACAAATGTAGTGTCTGCTGTCTTTAATACAAAGTTGCGTCCACGCTTTATTGGACCGTTTACGGTCACGGCCAAGAAGGGACTTGCGTATACGCTAAACCTTCCGCGCAAATTGCGCACACATCCAGTGTTCTACGTAGGCTTACCTAAGCCGTACCGGGATCCTTCCCATGTGAACTTGGAGGCGCTTGCGCCGACGACAAGGGCACTGCCCCGGATTGCTGTAGGCGAATCAGCAAGTCCAACTGAGCTCCGAGTTTGAGCTTGCTCCATCGCCTGAAGGCGGCTCTGCATCGCATCCAGCATGCACTGGGAATTACCCAAGGCCTTTTGAAGACCCTTCACTTCGAGAACCAATTTCTCGTGGACCTATGCCGGTACACCGGCCGCCACCGACTTTGCTCGATGAGCATGGGTGTCGTCAATTTCATGTCGAGAGACTAATGAAACGACGTCGTCGTCAGGGCCAATACCATTATCTTGTAAAGTGGCGTGGGTACCCTGAGTCTGAAAACTCATGGGAATTTGAGGTATCCCTTCGGCAAGACTGCCCATATGCTTTGGATGCGTTTGAGCATCGTGGCCATGGTCATCTCGAGACCGAGGCCGTTCCCCACCACTAGTGGTGCGGGTTGGCGGGTTGCTGGCCACCGACTGACCAGCGCTCGCGGCTACCTTAGTAGCCGACGCATAGCGCGTGCGCTTGCGCAATTGGCCTCTGGCCTTAAGCTTGGCATAATCATACCGAAGCTTGCGTTCAAGACGCACGTCAGCCACACTGGCACTAGCCCTTAGAGCACACATGTTGCTGAGGCGACGCAATAGTGCACCCAGTGAACGAAGGCATCGTCTTCCTCACTCGCTGTTTCGCCTGCGAGCAAGAGAATGGGTATGCCCTTGATCGGTGGAACCGGTGCACCACGTGCTTGCATGTCAAGGCGTGCCTTGTATTGACTTTGAGTCGTTAGGTGCGGCTCCAGGTACCTCTTACGAAGTGCCTGGCAGCTCACCACCCCCTCAGGAGTCTTGGGCCCATGGCCAATGACCCACGTTGCCAACGTTTGGCCGGCCGCTTGACGTAGACGTTCCTCCACACTGGGTGGGGTGAACACATAGTCACGCTGGCGTTCAAGCGTTACAACCATTCGTGCATGACGCTGAGCGTTTTCTTCTTGCTGAACAAGCAAATGTTGTTGCTCATCGAGCGGTTTTGTGATGATAGTTTCATCAGACCCAGTTACTGCATGCTGTGCTGGTTGTGCGCTCGCATCTCCACGTTCAGCGAACGGATTGGGGGCGTTCAAAGTTTGTGCCTCAGGCATCAGTGAGTTGGACATTGTCCCTGTATCAGTGCGGACACTCTTCGCTACCATAGTCGACCTCCTCCTCTATTCCGAGGTAGTCACACAGAGCCTTTGACTCATTCGGTGACGAGGACATCGTGCTAGAGCGTACGTTACCGTGAGGTTCACCGTACGCGCACTGTTCTAGCTGAAGAACACAAGATTCGATTGACGTTTTGACAAACATCAGTCTGGTGGGGGAGGGTGTAACGGGGTTACACGAAATTATGGTACTTTGTATCAGAGTGTTACACACCTGAGGGCACCCTTCTGTGAAGGTGATATAGAATATCTTATCGGTTTGTAGGGGCTGACGAGTGTCAGCCATTAGATACGAAAGATCTTTGAGTAGGATTAAGATATTCTATAGGAGTTAACCAAAAATAAAACCAGTTCCCATTTTGATCTGAAAGACACGTGGCTTGCGAGCCGTCTTGATCGTTGATCTCTGATCACTAAGAGTTAGCAACACCTCCTTGAGGTAGCTACTCTTGAGCACTAAGTGCTGTCGATTCACTGAATCTTTAGGTCCCCCTGGAGCAGGGATCTGAAGCTGTAAAGCTTGTTGACTCGTAAAGTCGTAGTTCTTTAGAACTAAGTTGCTCGTAGAGCGTTAAGTCTTCCTCTGACTTAAGGAGCTGTGTAGCTCCGCTACACATATGGCACCTGGCTCTTGTGCAATGATCGCGGACAAAAAACCTGCAGATGATTTTTTGCTCTGATGAGCGTACGATGATTGAGAGCAAGAGATTAAAGAGAGAGAAGAACAGACAGTCTATCACACGGTATTAATGTGAACAAGACTTCTGGAATGTCCTAATCCAGATTAGCAACGCCAATGTCGAGTTGGCCGGTGGTTGTACGTGGCTCACCACACGATGTGATGCTCTGGAACTCGCTGTGGTCTCATCTAGTAACTCTTTACAGTGCCATAGCCTGATGCCTCGCACCCTTGAATGTAACGTTTCGCGCTCTCTTGCCGATAACGCTCGTAATTGCCTAAATCCGTTAAGGAAAACTCTTGGACACTTCACGGGAGTGAAAGTTGTTGCCGCTCGTGAACAACCCGATTGCGCTGGATCCAAAGAGTCGAGATACAAACGGAACACAGGATCCACAAAATTCGCTTCCACTGATCAATATACTCCGCCAGAGTATCACCAACGACCTGCTGCAGCCGTTGTAATAGTGTCCTAGAACAATGGTGGTGGTGTCCTTGCCATGCAGTTCCCCGCATACTAGCTCACGTCATTCAGCCACACGTCGGACTTAAATCACGAGGTCAGGACCGCCTGTCAGCATCCTTGGGCCACCGTTCATGTAAGGGGGTGCACCGTTTCATAACAATTTATAAGAAATTGTTATTAGAATATAACTATAAGAGTTATATTCACAGAATATTGTCATAAGGACAATATTCTGCAGCACTTACGAGTAGTTCCTAATTAGTTGATATAGACCACTATATCAACCAACGGAGACGCGCCACGACAGACGCACGCAATGAGTGGTGAGCAGATAGTTGATATACACATTTGTATTCAGACATAGTTAGATGAGGATAAACAGTGGTTTATTAACAGAAATTAACTATGATAAATACAGTTCTACTTTTTACTTTAACCAAGTACTCGCTTCTCCTTACCGTCTTCCTCTGCACGTACCAGTGTACGTGAAGTTACGCGGCACCGCCTTATTCTGTCGTCAGAATAAGTAGCTTGTACTGTCATCAGTACGAGCTTCAGGGTGCCCCATTACACCTGGTAGCACTTCGTAGTCCTTCCAAGGACCACGTTCACATCTAACATGAATATATTAGATGATGAAGATGACCAAAGCTTTCACAATACTCGTGACGGCTACTCCCATTTGAGCGATGTCGAATGGGATGCGGCTGAACGGATGGGTTCAACCATGGGCATCCATGCTGTTAGCGTCATGCTAGAGGCTCTCGATAGAGATGCCCAACATGCTACTATCGTCAAGTTCATTCAAAATGAACTTGACGCTGAACGCGAGAAAGTAGCCTTGCTTCACCAACAAGGTTCTCAACAATCAGAGTTGTTGAGATAACAGGGTGCTCAACAGTTTGAACTGTTGAGACAGCAGCAGGCTGCTGCTGGTGGGTCGATGCACTCGCGTCGACCCGAGACCTTGACGATTGACATCTCCAAGTATAGGGGAGTCAAAGAGGACTCCCTCTTGAGATGGTTCGTCGAATTAGACGACGCCATAAGGGCGCGCCGCATCGACGACGGGGATTTGCAAGTTGCAGTTGACCAATCAAATCTGGCAGGGCGTGCCAAGACTTGGGCTTTGGGGCTCAAGTTGCACAACCCATATGCGTTTGGGTCGTTGGAAGTCTTCAAGTCGCGGCTCAGACAAATGTTTGAACCGCCGAGAGCTGAGTCCAGAGCTCGAACCGAACTCTTGAAGCCCAAACAGGGTAAGCGTGATGTGCAAGCTTACTCACAACTATACGACATCTCACGAGTTGTATAAGTTCCAATCCGGTGGATGAACCCACGTTTGTTTCGGTGTTCATGCAGGGTCTTGCGGATGGTCCCGTCAAGACTCACCTGTTCCGACTTGAACTAGATTCACTAGAACAAGCCATTTCCATTGCGGAACAGGAAGACTTCAGTCTAAGACAGGATCGCGCCAGCTCGACATCATATCGTCCACCGAGACGATATGACAGCGGAAGACCAGAGCCGATGGAACTCTGTTATGTAGAGAGCGAGAAGGCTCGATCTACAGACTACAAGAAGTTGCAGAAATGCAACATATGTCAAAAGACAGGGCACTACGCTTACGAGTGTAGTGCCCCTCGTCCAGTGTCTCGCAACACTGGGCATAGTGACCGTCCACCCATGAGAAAGGGGCAGGGACGCGGGTCCGCTGTTGGTGCAAAGACGCAACAACGGGATGGACCGTCAAAAAATGGACAGGATCAGTAGGTGCGGAGCACCCTACTGGTCCAGCAACGTCAAGAGAATTTGCAGGCCTCTTGACGGAGGTTGCTCCCAACACACAAACCTTGTGAGTTGCTGCTCTAGGTAATGAGGACTCACTCATTACCTTGAAACTCGAAGCGACTAATAAATTGTCCCTTCGAGCTCTAGTCGATTGTGGGGCGTCCAACAATTTTGTGCAACGCCAATCGCTAGAAGATGGTCACTTTAAGTTCAGTGAATGTGACACACCTCCTACGAGGATGACGGTACGTCTTGCGACAGGCGCATCCGTAACCTTCATGAAACGTATAGTGAAGGTTCACTATACGCTAGAAGATACCCAATATGACGATGACTTTATCGTATTGGATTTTGATGACAAATTTGATGTCATCCTTGGAATACAGTGGCTCAGAAGGTACGACCACGGGTAAACTGGCAACATCGAACAATAACGATGCCTGCCGCTTGTTCATCAGATGGCCATCTGATGAAAGTCTTGGAGCGTCCACAAGCGTGTGGATGTACAACGAGTGAGTGCGATGGCCTCACTTGTGGTACGGTCGTTAGTACGACTGCACGAAACTTTAGTGTAACAAACGGTTACAATTCGGAGCAAGATTCCGGCGGCTGCGAGGAAACACAGGCTGCGCCGAAGGTCCACCGCTCGAATAAGTCGAGTGGACCGGGACAAAGATGTATCCCTAGCGGGGGACATCTAGAAGAGAAATAATCGATCTCTAAGGTTATGCGAAGCGATAATCCTAGATTGACTGGAGAGTCTTTCGTAGAGGATCTCGCTGTGGTTGCGCAACCCCAGCTAGAGGAAATTATGGGAATAAGTCCCGATATTACAAATACCGCGGGAATAAGTTCCCCGAACCCCGAGGGAATAAGTCCCCGGGAAGCCGAAGGAATAAGTCCTTTGAGGCCTGAGGGAATAAGTCCCCAGGAAATGACAGAGACGTTGAATGTCCTAGTCAATAACGGATCACGTGTAGGCGCTTATACACTTGATCTGATTGCGCCTCCGAAGTTGACTTCGGAGATCACTCAGTTGCCAATGCTCGAACATAAAAAGTTCTTGCGTGATCTGCGTAGTGGCAAAGTCAAGCAGATCTGCGTACTCGTCGCTGACGACGAGTGTGTAGCCGACATAAGGTCAGCAACAGTGTTTAATGAGAACGACAGAGTTCTCAGTAGCTCATCAATGGACGATAGTGTCCTCGATGAAAAGACAAGAGTTGAGCGATATGACAATCGTGGGAATCGCTCAAGGTAAATCCTCTCTATGAAGATTTGGTTGAATTCAAGGATGTATTCCATGAAACTTTTCCGTGCGAGTTACCGAAGGATAAAGGTACTCGACACGAGGTCGAGCTTAAACTAGGCTCGAAGTACTGTGTCATGAAGCAGTGGCCACTACCTCGTGAACAAGTACTTGCGATCGACAAGTTCTTTGCCGATCGTTCAGCTGCGGGCCATGTGAGGGAATCAACATCCCCACATAGCTCTCCGACCTTTTTTCTGCGAAAATCAACAGAAGGGTGTCGGATTGTGCACGCATTCGACAAGTTGAATGCTACAACGGTACCGGCTCAGACGACGATACCAAGAAAGGATGTCATCATAGATGGTATGGAAAAAGTACCATCTCTTCACCCATGGATCTGATGGATGGATTCTATCAGATCCTCATGCGAGAACGGGATATCCCTTACACAGCAGTGAGAACGCCTAGTGGTATGCTCTGGGAGTGGCTAGTAATGCCACAGGGGCTAAGTAACGCCCCCGCAACGTTTAACAGATGTGTTACAAGTCTGTTGCGATCGGTGCGCGGTTTCGCACCGAGTTATTTCGATGACGTATTCATCCATAGTCGGGCTATGGATGGAAAGACGGACGTGGAGGTTCATAGAATCCACGTTCGGGAGGTAATTACACTTGTGCAAAAGTTGTTTGGGAACCTCAAGAAGTGTATATTTGCAGCAAGCGAAATACCACTTCTTGGGTGCATCGTTGGTAAGAACGGTGTACGTCCTGATCCCAAAAAGATCAAGGCGATCACCGACTGGCCTGTGCCAGTTGGTGTCAAAGGTCTTCGAAAATTCCTTGGGCTAGCGGCGTATTTGCACAAGTATCCACGCAAATTCGCCGAGATGACTGTACACCTCTCTCGTTTGTTAAAAAAGAACGAGAGGTGGTTATGAACGCTGAATGTCAGCACTCCTTTGATGGCATCAAGCAGAGCTTGATACAATCCCCAGTCTTAGCAATTGACGATCAGGACAGGCCATTTCATGTGGTCTGTGATGCCAGCGATTTCGCAATCGGCTGTGCACTAATGCAGTACGATCTTGAAGGCGTTGAACGCGTCGTCTGCTATCAGTAGCGTCAGCTGCAAGCAGCTGAGCGAAACTATCCAGTGCATGACAAGGAACTCCTTGCCATGAAGTATGCACTCGCGAAGTTCAGAGTCTATCTATTAGGAGACAGACCCTTCATTGTTTACACAGACCACGCATCGTTACGCACAGCAGTAAACAGCCCGCACCTTTCACAACGAATGGCGCGGTGGTTGTCATTCTTTGCAGAATACAACTTTACGGTAGAGTACAAATCAGGACGACTTAATGTCGTCGCTGATGCACTCTCACGTCGGCCCGACTTTGAACCAGTCGTGAAACCCAACAGTGAGACAGCCACTGTTGCGGTTATGGCGTCCTCAGTACCATCTTCAACATTACATGATGATGTGAGGCGGGCGTATGCCCAAGATGGTGAGGTTGTGAAGTTGTTGGCACATATCTCACAGCCATCTCGAGAATCATTGAAACGATTGTCGTCTGCGTATCGATCTGCATCAGATCGATACACTACTCGCAACGGGTTACTGTATTATACAGCCGTTACTGGTGACACACCACGTGTTGTCATTCCAGATGATACTGATCTGCGTTTGCGGATCGTGTTCGAGTACCACGATGCTCCTATAGGAGGACATCATGGCCGTGAGAAAACATATCTCACGGTGAATCGTTGCTTTCACTGGCCCCGCCAGTATCAGTTCGTGCGCAAGTATGTTCGCGCATGCGAAGTCTGCCAACGAGTGAAGTCAAGTCCTTCACTGCGTGCACCTTTACAGCCTCTAATAGTTCCGGCAGAGTACTGGGAACCCATCTCAATGGATTTCGTCTTCGGGTTACCCAAAGACGCACGCAGGAATGCGGGTATTCTTGTATTTGTTGACAGATTCAGCAAAATGGTACACCTTGTGGCTGTACCAGAGTCAATCACAGCAAGTGGCTGTGCTCGTGTCTTCATCGACACCATCTTCCGACTTCATGGGTTACCCCGTGAACTCGTATCAGACAGAGATCCACGCTTCACTGCTGATTTCTGGCGCTCCGTGTTCAAATCACTCGGAACGCACTTGAAGATGTCGACATCTGATCATCCAGAGTCAGATGGTCAGATGGAACGAGCCAATCGTGTCCTCGAAGAGATACTTCGAGGATACGTACACTCCTTTAAGAGTTGGAGTGAGTTTTTGTCAATGGTAGAGTTTGCCATTAACAACTCGGTGCATGCGTCCACGACACATACACCGTTTTACGTGAATGGCTTGCGCCATCCGCGTGTACCCACCTTACTTGAGTGTAACTCTGGTACAAGGGGGGGAGAGACTCGCGCGAGCAAAAGACGATTTGGTTCACGCTCATCACGCTCTGACGATGAGGTCATTGCGTTTGATGCCGATATCGACAACATCGATATCGAAGAAGATAATGCCAGTGAGAGCGAGGAAGCCCTCACTGAAGAAACGATTGATGTTGCTGCAGTGCACTCACAGCGCACTGAAGCTAACGAGTCATCAGATGAGTTCATACTGGCTCGTGAAACGGTAGTCCGTTTTGTGCAAGACTCCATCGCCGAAGCGGTGGATAAGCAAAAGCAAAACGCTGACAAGAATGGAAGGGAAAACACTCTTTTATTTAATAAAGGTGACTTAGTCCTACTGTCTACGGTTAACCTACCAAAGCATGTAGTGACTAACTTGGGTAGCAGTAAACTAATACCCAAGTACATCGGTCCATTTCGTGTATTGCATCGCCCAGGCAACGCATACACGATCGAACTGCCACGTAAGATGCGAACGCATCCCACGTTTTACGTTGGTCGGCTTAAGCCGTACCATCAGTACGCTGCTTCTTCCGATGAAGAACGCCCTTGCGCTCAAGCATCTCACAGAGAGCCTTGTGCTCCCGATGGTGGCCATCGACAAGGGTCTGAAGAGCAGTTATCTCAGCCCGAGACCGGTCAATATCCACGCGAGCTACCCTTAGCTCGTCACGCAGAGATGTCAAAGCTCTCTCGTTCTCAAGCTGAGCAAAGCATACTCAGCTCGATGCTTCGAGACAGTGTCCGCCAGTTGAAGACGCCTGTCCCGCTCATACTCGAGGTCGTCGCGTAGCGCAAGAGTTACGCGATCAAAGAAGCTCTCGGAGACACACGCTCCCCCACGATAGTTTGGAGAGCGTTTTCCCTCCTCCTCCACCTCCTTTGGAGGACTCTCGCGGTGGCCAGCGCTATCTGGTTGAGCAGCTGTTGAACCACCGCGATGTGAACGGACGTCGGACGAGTTACCTCGTCCGGTGGCGCGGTTATCCCCCATCCTGGAATAGTTGGAAGCCCCGCTCCCAAATAATGATTTACGTACTGGGTCTGGTTGAGCAGTACGACGCGGCACATCCTGTGCCGCAGAAGGACCGCTGGAGAAAGTCTTCCCGGCACGGTCGTAAAGGGATTTCAGGTTTTCAATCCCTTCGTACATCTCAGTAGAGATACGTACGCGCCACCACGGGCTATTAAGGAGGTAGGCCTCCTTAGGTGCGTGCGCTGAGTTGTTCACACAACAAGGGCACAGGTCTCCCCAGGAGAGACTGGGTAACCCACCCTCCTTAGACAGACGATGCAGCTTGTAGCGTGCGCCTATCGGGGTTCTCTTCTCAAACTTATCACGAGCGTTGATAAGTTTGTCGTTCCAAACGTCACGATCTACATCCTCAAGGTTCTGGATGTAAGCGTTACACGCTTGAAGCAGTGAGGGACCATCACGTTTGTGATTCCCACTGTACCATCGATGCTTAACGAAAGCATCGATGAATAATTCATGCTCAGAGTGATAGTTTTTCGCACTGGGATCAAGGTGATGGATCCTTGACGAATCGAATAATCGTGTTCGATAGCGATCACTTGTCGTCGCCGACAAGCGATCCATGACTGATTTTGGAGGCAGCCATGCCTTCTTTTCGGGAGCGAGACGCAACACGTTGCGGTCCCGCTCTTCTTGCGACGTGCCGACAGAAGTACTGGTACCTCGTTGCGAAGTGGTGTCAATAGGAGAACCGACACCACTGTGAGCGCCCGAGTCTTGCGATCTCGAGCGCCTTCGCTTTGGCGATGGTTCATCTGATTCGTCAGACGAACCAACGATGCTACATCATCCATGCCACGCTTGGCAGGCGGCTTGGCTTCAACCGCCTTCGATACAGATCCCTCTTTCGTATCAGGAGAGTATGAGACATCGAGCTCATACTCTGTGACGACATGAGTGTCTTCATGACGAGCGTCTGCATCACGAGGTGACACAGACTGAGACGCTTCAGCAACCGATGGCACATCGGTTGCAGCGGTTTCTGCTTCGGCGTCCGCACGGAGACGTGCAGACGCGCACCGCATGGGCTTGTTCACCATGCGAAGAAATTAATGGACTGTGGACTCGGACCAACAAGTGCAAACCCTGTCCCAAATGATTTGGGACGAGTATCCATTTAGTCAATCAGTCACTAAAGTGACCGATGGTTAAGGGGGGGGTGATGTAACGGGGTGAATCGTTACATAACAATTTATAAGAAATTGTTAATAGAATATAACTATAAGAGTTATATTCTCAGAATATTGTCATAAGGACAGTATTCTGCAGCACTTACGAGTAGTTCCTAATTAGTTGATATAGACCACTATATCAACCAACGGAGACGCGCCACGACAGACGCACGCAATGAGTGGTGAGCAGATAGTTGATATACACATTTGTATTCAGACATAGTTAGATGAGGATAAACAGTGGTTTATTAACAGACATTAACTATTATAAATACAGTTCTACTTTTTACTTTAACCAAGTACTCGCTTCTCCTTACCGTCTTCCTCTGGTTTATTAACAGACATTAACTATTATAAATACAGTTCTACTTTTTACTTTAACCAAGTACTCGCTTCTCCTTACCGTCTTCCTCTGCACGTACGAGTGCACGTGAAGTTACGCGGCACCGCCTTATTCTGTCGTCAGAATAAGTAGCTTGTACTGTCACCAGTTCAAGCTTCAGGGTGCCCCGTTACATGCAGAACATGTTGATGTGGATGCAAATTTCCTTCCCACAGATCGAAGATAATCTTAATATTCAGCAGCCAGACAAAAACGAAGATGAGAACGACCCAAATAAGGTTGCCAACTACTCAAGAGCCTATATGGAAATAAACGATCTGCGTGCGAGTGGAATGGAACTCGCGACGATTTTTGTGGAAACACTTTTGGCGAGTCAATGCAGACCTTTGTTTGGATACGCGCATGAGTGGTAGAGAATATGCCGCGGTCGTGGTTCACGTCCGAAGAGGTGATTGTCGCAAGCAAAACACATGCTGGCGCCTGCAAGATAATGAAGAATCTTATGACCACGTTTAGCATAAGGATTGCGTCTTGTCAACGCGTCTGTAGATAGCGTTTGGTGTGTCTTACATGTCGTGCTAAGTGCGAAGTAGGCTGTCCTCTTCTCATGTGCATGTACGTATTTCAAGTGTCACTCTTTGATCAGGTCACTAATTGTGACCGCGTAGAGAGTATCAGTCACACAAACGCACCAACGCGCACACATGATTGGGAAGAGGATTCCCATCACGTTAATTTGTCTCATATGTCGGTGAATTTAGTGTCCTTCGGCTGTAATTTGTAGTTGACGACGTTACCATCAGTTTTATTTTTCGCCTTCCCTTTATAATACTCTTTTTCTTTAAATTTAAACTCAGATCAAGGAGTAGCTTCTGTTGGAAAGAATGTGGATAAGCTTCAAGCATTTGACTATGTGATCATAATCACTTTTAACGATTCTAAGCCAATCATGTGCGTGTGTTCAACAGTGTCCGAGCCAAAGAGTGACTTCGTAAGTGTGCATACGCCTCGGAGGGGGGGACGGGCTAGATCGCACTTGGTACGGGTGAGCAACACCTAACCGCGTTATTCACAGACAGACACACGAACAAGTCTGATGTAAAAATTCGGGACTCAATACTGCGCACACTCACGAACAGCTTCACCCTTCGGGCTCGCAATAAAGACTCTCAGCCTTCTGGATTCTTTCGACTTCACGTTCGTAATCGCAATATCGTGCACCACTCATCGTCTGTTCGCGCACTTACCGATCGCCTAACCGTCCCTTTTTTAACCTGCTCGCATGTCCGGGTGCTACTACGACAACATTTGCAACATCTTTCTTCGGCAATAACTGGTATGGCCATTCGGGTCGTGCGGCGGCTCCCATTCCTACTGTATACGTATACCTGGACGCACGCATGCCACTTCAATGTTGCGGAAGCGTGTCGGACTTGCTGCGTAGAACCGGACGAAGATCCGAATCGAGATGTGTAAACTGCTGACCGCCCAGTTCTTATCCACGCAGTCGCCCAGTTATCTCCAGCCCCCACCAGAAAGCAAATCTCTACCAGCACGAGTAACAGAGCCGTACAATTACTCCGGCTCGCAAGCCAAAGCCCACCTTCTTCGCTGGAAAGAGCAGCGCCACTCACTGGCGTCTAATTGTTCGTACCTCGATTCACTATGGATGAATCCAAATGGTGAGACAAGCAGAACGTTGGCTTCCTCACGGACACTAGCTCCTGCTGCACGAGTGTAAAGACGAGCGAGGTTGAACTTCATGCTGTGCCAATTGAACTGTCCCGTTGATTCCGGTGCGGTGCAAAATATGCCAGGAACTCTCTCAGCATTTTGCAATTCACTGGCTTTTGACACCGACCAGGTGGACATCATGCAGTTACTTGCAGCTTCGGCCTTGCTGGTCGGATTGACCACCAGCATCTCGTTTGAAACGCTTTCGGGGCACGTCACAGTGACAGTCGATGCGAAGACAACCCTCCTTGAGAACTGGGAGGGGTGGGGTACGTCTCTCTGCTGGTGGGCTAATGTTTTCGGAGACCGGGAGGACGTTGCGGACCTGTTCTTCACCCACAAGGACGTCGTCACGCTGACTGGGGGGTCGCCCAGCCTCCCTGGTTTGGGCCTCAACATCGTGCGCTACAACATTGGCGGGTCCGGTAAAACCACGTTTGATAGCGCTGGCACGAAGGTCGCAATGAACGAGTCGCCAAAGATGCCGGCGTTCAAGTTCATCGAGACGTTTTGGGTGGACTGGGCGAGTAACGTGTCGACGAGCAAGAGTTGGGACTGGACTGCCGATGCAAAGCAACGCCAGATGCTGAAGTTGGCACTGAAACGCGGTGTGGATGTCACGGAGGCGTTTTCCAACGCGCCGCCTTGGTGGATGAACTACAACCATGCTACTGCTGGTGGAGCTGACGGCAAGAAGGACAACTTGCAGTCGTGGAATCACGACACCTTTGCACTGTACCTGGCTACCGTGGTGAAAGAAGCGAGTGAAAAGTGGGGCGTCAGCTTTACGTACGTCGAACCTTTCAATGAGCCTTCAAGTCCGTGGTGGACGTTCCCAGGGGGGCAAGAAGGTTGTCACTTTGCATTGAGTACGCAAAACAGCGTCTTGCTGCACCTTCGGGAGCACCTGAATCGATTTGGACTGAAAAATGTCGTCATTGCAACGTCCGACGAAAACTCGCCTCCGTTAGCGTTATCGACGCTCACCTTTATGTCGGCATCGCCAAATGTGATGGCGACTTTCGGTAAGGTGAACACGCACGGCTACGAAGGCTTGAGTCCCTACCGCGGTAAAGACCGAGGCCCGTTAAAGACGCTGATTACAAAGTCGGGGAAGAAGTTGTGGGATTCTGAGTACGGAGAGGCGGATGGTAGCGGACTCAAGATGGCCGAATCTATTGCGCTCGACATCAATGAAATGGGCGTGTCGGCATTTGTGTATTGGCAAGCACTGGACGGTGCAGGTTGGGGGCTCGTGCAGTCGAACCCAGCGGAAGGAACAATTAGTACACCGAACATGAAGTACTACGTACTTGCTCAATACACGCGCCACATTCGCCCCGGCATGGCCATACTCTCGACGAACAACAAACAAACCGTCGTAGCGTACGATGCTGCATCCAAAGTGCTGGTGGTGGTCATGGTGAATGTAGCCGACGCGGTAACGAACATCACATTCGACCTGTCAAGTTTCAAGTCGGTGGCGGGTCCGGTCGGTGCTTGGACCACAGAGACGAGCGGATCGGGAGGGCGGTACAAGCCATCGAAGATCGAACTGACTGGCAAGTCGTTCAGCGCTGCGATTCCGGCGGCATCAGTGATGACGTTTGAGATCTCAGGCGTTGGAAAATAGTTTGTGCTCGAGGCGGAGACTTGCGAGACGATTGCAATCGCTGATGCCCATGTTTTACCTGGTGTAGGTACTCGTTTTCGTACGGTGCTTTGCTAGTTCACATGTGTTGCCATCAATGAAGTAAACTCGAAGGAGGATGTTGATCGCGCTGGGCTTTTGAAGTTGACCGACTAACGATTCTGTCGATGTGAATGCTGTTTGCTCTGTCATGGACGCCCAGTCACCACGTCAAACTGGGAGCACATCAATCATGTATCCCGGCCATGTCAAAGAACTACATCGTTTATGCTGTAGAGTATCGAAAGTCTCCTTCGCCTTGAGCTAGCATCTCCCTATGTGCTGGATAGCGTTTTTTGTTGATAGTCAGACTGAATTACATCCCGGACTCGAGAGTAGGCGACTGACTGGCACCCTACATTGCAGGCGTCACGTTGCAATACGTTTTCAGACACCTCAATGTGTCTTATCCGGTTTGAGGAGCGTCCGATGTGTACCCCGTTGGCAGTCTGTTAGCGTACTTTGTAAACCTTATGGCAAGGTGTACTCGGTGCTGATGCAAATTGGCGCATCAGAAGGGATTTGATACCTGGCACTGGACGTCCGATCATCGATGTCAATCAAGCAATTACGCGTCGGCGGCGAAAACGTACGTGACTCGACCGCTTTTCACATGCATCTCCAGCTTTTCCTCGGCCAGAGAAACGAGGATGAAGCTGTCAAGGAAGTCGACCCGTGATCAGGTTCAGGAGTGACTACCTTGTGTTTGGGTCACCCACTCGAGCACCACAAAAAGGTGACGAGGATACTGCTGACATCCAGAGTTCATGCACCGTTAAAAAGCAGTCGAGTTCAGGTTCGTTTGACGATTTGGCTGCGCTTCTTTCTCATGGACTCATCATCTCCTTTCTTGTCAACTCGCAGGGAGCACCTGGGACGAAAAAGACGATGGGTCTTCTGACCTGGATACTGGAGGTCTCAACAAAATGCCGCTCGATCCATTGAGTGGTGCATGTGCGTAATGCTATTTGGTTGTTGTTTCCATGCCGGCTACTCAATGTTTGAGGCGGGAGTCGTCCATGCAACGACAAACCTCGATGAAGCAAAAAATAGCGGTCATGACAATGCAGAGAACCATTCATGTATGAACGAGCCATGTGCGCCACCAAGTCCGCATGATTGTGGTAGCCAAACAATCGTCTCGACGGGGCAAAGACAGGGAATCAGAAAGAGTTCTGCCAAAAGCGTCAACTGTACGCAAAACACGTAGCATTTGTCTGACGACGATGGATCGGATCTTGATAGTGGCGGAGAAGACGAGAGCTCCATGACGCTGATGATGGTGATCACGATCATGACAATGCCGACGGATTCGCCACCACCGACTGCCATTACACAAGTCAAGAAGATCAGGGAAGTACCTACCCGCTATCAAGCATACTCGACTCTTCGGGGTCGCACTTCGCTGGGCTCCAAGCCGAGCAACAATTGTGCTGATGGCAGCAGTCATCTGTGAAGGGGCGCATTTCATAATGGCTGGCTTCTTGTGGGAATACGGATGGGCGTCTCGCGCGCTTCATGATTCAACAGATATGATCTACACTTCGTCATCGTACACTTGGGGTCGTGTTGCCCACACGTTGCTCTTGAGATGGCCCACAAGTCGTCGGATGGACTCTATGAGCGTCGCGCTTTCGATCTCTTGCTCGTCGTTACCAGCAAAGTCGTTATTTAGCAGGCAGAACTCTTTGAAGAGCATCTTTGCGATGCCGTGCAGATTCGAGGAGTCTTGGCTCCCATCGGAACTGTCGACTCGTCGACGCTTTCGGTTCCTCCACACCACTTTGTCTCGTTCGGTGACGTCGGCATGTGTGGCATCAGTATAGGATGATTGTCTCATGATGTCTGCGATCCCCGCAAGACCGCTCACTGTGAGTAAGTTTCCACTCAGGTCAACAAGCGCGAACGGCTTTGTCTGGGCCCGCTTTGCGAGTGCTCGTAGGAGTGCAATTGCGCCATCATTCCGCAGCCGATTCGCTCCTACCGAAAGAGATGTAAGTGCGGTGTTGCTCTCCACTGCTGTCAAGAGCCTAACAGACACTCCCGGTAGCCCTAATCCAACACCATTCATTTGTAAATGTGTGACGCAGTCATTGGTCAACAGAAAATCTGCAAGCACATCGCCAAACCCAACGTCGAAGAAGTTGTGAGCGACATTCAAATGCGTGACTGTCTTGTTCTGGCCCAGAGCTAGCAGCAGATTGGTGACACCTTCGAGGCCAAAATTGCAGGAACGAACGTCCAGGTGAGTCAGCACAACGGCCGGCTTAACGTCAGGAGAGGCGAGCATAGGTGTCAGTGCATGTATACCCGGGTCGCCAATCTGTACATTGTTTGCCAGCTCAAGACGGTCAAGATTCAGCACGCCATCCATACTCGCGCGACAGATTGCCCCGACCGTCGTAGACGACACGTCATTATCGTTGAGACGAAGGTGGCGCAACACCAGTGGCTGCCGTAGCGTTGCGAGGCTAATAAACGCACCGTCATCCAGCTCGTTGTGCTCCAAGAAGAGCCGCTCCAGTTTTGGGGCTTGTAATGCTGCATCTACCATCCACTTCGTGTCAAAATCCGATATCGAGTTGCTCACCCTCAGCTGACGTAAGTGCGGCATGTCAGTCACTAGACGCACCAACTGGCGATATCCTTCAGGTCGCATCTTCACCGAGACTACCTCCAGCGTCGTGAGTTTCCTGGTATCTAGACACGTCTCCAAAGTCGGCATTGGCTTCACCAACGTCGTGTGAAGTTGTGCAATCTGCACATCACTTAGCTTGCCGTGGAAGAACCCTAGCTCCGTCAGCTGCTGGTGATCCTGCAGCAACCGTCCCATCGTCTTCCAGCAAGTTTGTCGCTGTTCCGGGTGGTGAACTTCCAGTCTCCGGAGCTGCCGCAGGGCCAAGATAAGCTGCACGTTGTCTTCGCAGACCTCTCGACCGTGCACTTTGAGCACCTCAACGACATCCACAAAGAGCTTCTGGTAGTCAGCGAGGACGTCCACAGCTTCTGGTCCCCGCAGCTTGAGCAACGTGCGGAACTGGTGCTCCCAGAACACGAGCCGGTAATTGCGTCGACGCTCCTGTGCAGCAGCCGAGTTCTCGACAGAGATCATCGTTTCGTCGCCCACCCACGCTGCCTTCATCCGGCGCTCCCACACGCGCTGCGTCTCTTGGTCGAACAGGAACTTGTCACCAGCCAACGGGTCAAACCCGTCACGCGGTTCCTTTCGGACTTCACCTGCTTTGGCAGCTGCTTCCCACGCGATCTCGATCTCACGCAGCCGAAAGTCGGACAACCGGTGGAAGAGCTGGGCGCGGATGGCTGTGGGCAGGTACTCGACGTAGACGAGGAGCTCCTGCACGGGCGTCCAGCGCGCAACGGCAGCCACGGCGAGGTCCACGAGCGATTTCATGACTGGAAAATGAGGAAGACGATGACGACGACGACGTGTCGATAAAAACGGGTCTTATTTTGGGCGACGCTTATTTTTGGCTATGGACGCGACGTCACATGGCTACATTTGTGGGAACGAGCGACGCACCGAGTCCACAGGTCGACGAGGCGGTCAAAGCCCGCTTCGCCTTGGGCGAATGCCGCCCGTACGTCGTGCGCCAGCTGGACCATCTCTTGCTCCGTATGCGCGTTGGTCGCCTGCAACGAGCGCTCAAACTGCGCTGATTTCTGGGCCGCACACTCGATCACTTGGTCCGGGAGCTTGGCCAACATGGCAACGTTGATGCCGTAGCTCTTGGGGCACGCGCCGTCCTCGAGCTTGTACAGGAACGTGACCTTGCGATCGTTCTCCGGGTTCACGATACAGCCCATGTGGCCGAGCGATACCTTGCTGTTGTCTGCGTACTCTTCGACCAGCGAGTGATAGTGCGTCGCGAACATTGTGCGGCACTGGATGTCGCTCAGCAGGTGCTCGACAACCGAGTAGGCAATCGCAGTGCCGTCGAACGTCGAGGTTCCACGTCCCAACTCGTCCAGGATAACAAGCGAGTGTCTGGTAGCGTGATTCAGGATTGTTGCGGTCTCAGCCAACTCGACGTAAAGAGTACTCTGGCCAGCAAGAATACGGTCGGACGCACCGATTCGAGTGAAAATACGATCCACTGGACTGAGGCGACATGTTGCGGCGGGAACAAAGCTGCCGATTTGGGCCATGAGGGTCAGCACGCAGGTTTGCCGCAGCAACGTAGACTTCCCACCCATATTCGGCCCACTCAGAAGGATCATTTGGCCCTTCCCTTCGATACCAAGGTGCGCGTCATTCGGAATGAAGCCGCCATTGTCATAGCTCGCGGCAACGCAAGGGTGCACGCCTTCCTTGATATGGATGAAGGGAGTTCCTCCATTTGCAGAGCTCGCGACGACCACTTCGGGCTTCGTGTATCCTTCGCTTTGGCTGCTGAGTAATCCAAGACTGACGAGGCAATCTAGTACCGCAAGACATTGCACTGCCTTCATCCAGTACTTGTAGTCCTCATCGAACTTGTGAAAAATGCGGCGTGTCTGATCTTTCAGGGCCTCCTCTTTCTGGGCTTCCGCTGCAGCCAAGCGTTTGAGCAGGTCACGAATGGTTCGTGTATGAAAGCGTTTGTATCCTTTTTTGCGAGACTTGAGCTCGTACTCTTTCGGTTGCTTCTCCAGTGCACTTTCGGGGACCTCCAACTGATAGCGATCCTCTTTCTTCTTGCCCCAGTAAGAAATACCTCGACACCGCAGCGCTGTACGCTGTTCGTGGAGATACTCCGCAAGTTCGGCTTCAACTTGAGCAATCTCAACACAAGCTGCGTCGAACTCCGAGTCAACGCCTGATTGGGGTACTATCTCACCGCTCTTTTCTGCAGCAGCTTGGTCAAAGCTGCGCTTGAAGAACTCCAGCTTCTCTGTGAGGTCGGGGAAGTGCCCACAGCCAATGTTCGGGTCAGAATCATCACCAATTTTGTGCGTTTTCAATAGAGCCCGAAGGATGGGCGAGGTGGATTGAGAAAGACGGGGTCCCAACTGTAGGGCAAGATTCATGGCCGCATCGAATCCGTTCAGCACCGAGAGGAAGTCTTTAATCTTGCGAACGTTGTACTGCTGAGATTCGTACATTATAGCACGGCTGTCTGGATGTTCTTTTGACCGGTACGCAGATCCAAGTGCGTGGATTCGGGACAGTAAACGTTCAAGATCAGGCAGTTTGCGGAGGAGCTCGCGAATCTCCATCATCACGTCATTACAATTGCCCAGTTCTTCAACCGCATTAAGTCGCTCTTGAATATCACATATCTTGCACAACGGTTTCAGGACCCACTCTTGAAACATGCGGCGGCCAAAGCTCGTCACGGTCTTGTCCATAATATCGATGAGTGATCCTGAACGCGAGCCATCAAAGCTGTTACAAAGCACCTCTAGATTCTTGATTGTCTGTGAGTCCAGAACGACATATTGCTGATTTAATTCAGCCTTCGCCGCAGACATTGCTACGGTATCAAAGCGTGCATCCCGCGCTTCCTCGTCTGAAGGCTTGTACCGTTTAAACTTGCAGAGTGAAAGTAACTCTCGATCGATTATACTTCGTCGCAAATGCCAGATACAGCCTCCCAGAGCACTGATCGCAAGTCGACCCTCAGGTTTTACTACTTTGTCCATTTCCAGGAAGCAAAGGACATCTTCTGGCCACCCGTGCTCCTTAAAATACCCAGCCCGCTCAATTTCATCAACTGTTTTCGATGCGTCCCAAAACTCTTTGCCCACTCGCAATGTTGACCGAATCACAGCTGGTACAGCGTACTTGAGCACCATTTTAGTGACATCCGACACGTTAAATCGCTCGGTCACAATTTCTACGATATGAAATTGGGCGAAGAGCGTCTTCAGACGGTCGCGCTGCTCTGTGTCATCGAACTCGGCTAATTGGAAGGCGCCAGTAGAACAGTCGACCATGCATAGACCGAAACGCACAATTTTCTGCGTAGGGTCGCAAAACTCTTTCAGCACGAGAAGGTGCTTTGACACTTGATCTTGAGATGATATAGGAGCGTCTAAGAAGCTGACAGTATTGGTACCGATGGACAGCAGCGAGCACACCTCACGACGAACAACTTTGGCTTTTTTTGACAAAGTGCTGTTTCGGATCTTCAACATGTCAGGAGTTTCTGTCTGTTCAACACGAGCAACGCGATATCCCTTCGCGACAAGTTGGGACGACATCTTTGAGTATGCGATCTCTGGAAAGCCCGAGTGTGCTTTCTCACCTTTCATGTAGATCAGGTTCAGCTCCTTAAAGCCAATATCGGCATCCATGTGAAACAGCTCATAGAACTTGCCAACCTTGAAAAAGAGCACCGTGTCCATATTTGTCGCTTTTACTTCCCACCACTGCACCATGGCTGGAGTTTCTTTTTTCAAAAATTCTGGTGGTACCTTGAGGGTGCGCGGATCATAGTCCGGTGAGTCTGGTGCGTTGCCATTAATATCACGTCGTTCTTTGTGTAGCCAAGGTAAAGAATCATGGATATGATTGCCAGCCCCCGCAACGGAACTAGGCAACTCAGAGCTATCTGCAGCTTTCTCAGCATTTGGAATAGACGCAGCGTTCCATTTCGCTTTGGCCGCAGGCGGAGGGGACAAAAAGGACTTGACTGCCACTTTCTTCGATTTGCTCGTTGCCGGGGCACTCTTCCGTCGCTTTTTACATGGTAAGACCTCTTCGTCTATCTCATCGATCACGAAATCGTCCATATCGTCGCCGTCGTCGGAAGGTCCGTGTTCCGCACCACTGAATTCGGACTCGTCTCCGCCGCCATCTTCCTCTAAATCATCTTGCTCCATCCACTCCTCTTCACTGCTCACGACGTTGCGACTGATGGTCTTCACCTTCCGTCGATACGAGGCTGACGCCACATGCTCCTCCTTGTCCGAGTTATCGTCGTCATCGTCATCATCTCGAATTACAAGACGTCCAGCACGTCTCTTCGTTGCCAGTAGCAACAGCTCCTTTTCTTCCTTCTCCTTTTCCTGATGGCAGCTCGTCGAGTCAAGTGTATTGGTCGCTTCGTCGTCGTCGTCTCCGTCCTCCGAGCTCGTACCAAGGAAGTCCTCGTACGCCTTGCGCTTGACACCACTAGAAACCAGAGGTATGGCCACTTGTTTCCTATCCTGATCGTTCTTGCTGCTTTCCTGTGGCTCAATCGCCGTCTTTAATGTCTTGATCTTGGGCGAAAACTCAATCTTCTTGCGCGTCGTGCCCTTCGCCTCAGTCTTTGTCCCTGTCTCAGTCACCTGAAGCAAGTGGTGGTTACCTTCGTCAGTAGTAGAGGCAATTGCCGCATGCTTCTTGTCTGCAATCGATGCACCACGTGATGACGGAGGACTGAAGAAACTCAGCAACGAGCTCTGCGTCTTCTTCTGCTTCATGTTGACAGCCCAAGCAGCTACTCGTGCCACGATGGAGATTTGGCTCAACCAATCAATCGAAGCGCTTTTGATTATTGCAATATTAAGCGCTACGATTCAAAGTTGAATTTTATGTGAACAAATGTCTCGATAGCACTGCCAAAAGGTGCTGCTCATAGTGATGAAAAGACTCCGCAAGCAATGGGTACGGTGATTTCAAAACTAAAATGTGCACCACAAGTATTGGACGATTCCGTCGAGCAGTTCTTTTACGAGTGTCTTGATTGCGGCGGGAAATCTAAATCTGGCTTCTTTTTGATCGCGCTGGCTGCAGATTTGACAGACATGTAGGCGACGTGGTCGTGTCCTGCGTGTTAGATGCTGTTTCAGACGACCAGTTGGATATGTACCAGCCTAAAACGTGCTGAGAGGGGCAGCTGACACACATCGAATGTGGTGCCAGTGGTGTCATAGAGTAAGGCTGCTTGGGCGGTTGTCAGCGTGAAGAAAGAACCCGAAATCGCGACTATAGATGTGGCTTGTTCTTGGTGTCTCTCGCACGTTTGAACACGTAGCAGACCAGAAGATGAAGCAATCGCGGTCATTGATGTGCTTGTTATAGACCAAGATTGGGCAAACCTCCATTGTCGTAAACGCTGCCTCTGGATACCTCGAGTAGCACCTTGATATGATGGCAGCAGCTTCTTCTCCTTGTCTATATTCCAATGACCGTGCACATCAAACCTTTGTTTCTACCCATGTGTTTGTCATGCAGCAACCGCTGCAAGGACAAAGTTCCCGTCTTCATTCCTGCAAGATAGAACACAAGAAGGATGCAAGGATATTGTGCCACCAGTGAACATAATACTTCTGGAAGTGAGCGATGCACATTAAGGAGCTTCTTGCCACCAAAGATACAAAGGCAGATACGGCACCTGCACCTCGACCAAGCGGATCCCTGCAAAAGGTCAACTGCGAGTGCCAGACGTTGTCACGTCCGTGAGGTAGGTAAGGCACCTATGTGGTAAATGGTCATTCGGGATACAGATACATATTATTAATCGTCACAGCATGCCTACACAATAGAGCAGCTTACCTTCTTCAGTATCTTTCGCAACTAATTGCCTCGCGCATATTGTCTCCAGTGTTCCCTACAGTGTCGCGAGATCAGTCCGAAGCAGTTTGGGTGCATCCACGGCGAAATTAACCACTACTGTTGACATCATCAATCTATATTGGCCCCCCCCGCCACTTCTACACATTCGGCCATAGCTGCCTCTGCCAGAACCTGTACACACCGACTGCAGATTTCAATCGACCTGGAAGAGACGGACGCATGAACATAGATGAATCGGGAACGCGCATGATCTCTTGGCAACACACTGTATCACATCAGTAGAACCCGTTCTCAGCAAAGCTGTATTAAAAGTTTACCATACTTTTGCCCCTTCCCTTGCATCTACGTCGCTCGCGCTCGACCAATACGCTCGTGTTTCAGGCAAGACATACTCTGTGCGTACAAGCAGCTTAGTTGGCCGGGACGCCACCACCCGACTTCAGACGCAGCTGGGCCTGACGTTTGCGCGATACCTTGACCGGCTTCGGCTCCTCCACAGCCTTGGCAACGTTTGCGCGCTTCTCCGATAGGATGAGCTCAATGTGGGCAGGGTTGGACATGTAGGGTCCAATGCGACCGTGCGCACGGTAAGTACGACGACGCTGCTTAATTGCGGCATTGGCTTGCGCGTGCGAAACGAACAGCTGGTCCGTGTCCAGTCCCTTGACCTCAGCGTTAGCCTCGGCGTTCTTCACCAGGTCCAAAATGATCTTCGTGGCCTTCTGGGGCCACTTGCACTTGTCGCCGGCAGCACCACGGAGCTTTCCCTGCGCGTGACGGCCGCATCCACCCGTGAATTTGGTGAACGGCACCGCCTGCTTGTACTCGAGCACGGCCTCCAGGAAGCTCTTACACTTGCTCAGCGGCATGCCCTTGATGGCGTGGCACACCTCACGACAGTGCTTAAAGTGCACGCGGAGGTGCGAGCCGCGGGCCTTGGCGGCGCGCTGAGCGTCTTCTGGTTCCTGGCTGTACGACGGCATGCTGCTTGCTCCACGTTCGGGTTCTGGAAACTAGTGAGCACCAAATGGTCAGTCGAGGCATTGCGCTGCACCACCACCACCAATCAATAGCCAAGGTTGACTCCCCCGGTTTTTAGTACAGACGTCACTATCGACATTCGCTCACGGGAGTGACATGAGATTAAAGCGAGGATCAAAGACGCAGGAGTCCTCCATTCCCAATGTGTCGGTTCATTCACAATTGACACTTGACTGTATCCTGTAAAACCAAAGACCACTCGATCTCTACTGGTTCATCGATACTATCAGGATATAGCTAGATGCATGTATACAGTCACCATTCAAAACGTTGCCTCCGACGAGTCCGAGTCACATGCGGCAGAGTCGTCATCATGAGCATGTTCCTTGACGTTGTCATCCCCTCGATCGTCCTCCTCCTCTTCTACTTCTTCATCACCGCTGATCCGCTCTTCTTTGTACGAGATGCGTTGCGCCGCTCCACGACGCGGTCGTCCCTCCGCTATAATCAGGCTAGTATCAATGCCCTCCAACTCTTTCTCTTTCTCGTGCTTCTTCTTGGCCGCGCTGATGTCACGGCTCGAAGGATACGGGCCAGCAAAAGTAACACCAGCATCGTGCAACCGGTCACGCAGAACGCCTTCTGCCTCTGTACTTGATGCCGCATCCTTTAGCATTCTGTACATTCGTGGGCTGGTCATTTCCATTGGATAATGAATGCGTCAACATCGATCGAAACCCGTCCTGGAAATGAAGACAACACGTACTTAAGAACGCCCGCGGCGCGACCAAGCTCTTTTAATGCAGCAAGACCGGCAAAATCTGGCTGCGCAATTGTCTTCGACTTTTTCTCTGCTGGCGCAACTCCCTGACACTCTTGCTTTCTTTTGCTGCTGCCGTCTGACTGCACCCTCCCATAATGAGGCACCATAGAAAATGAGCAATACTCGACACAATCTATTTCGGAAAATCAGCAACTGTCGAGCTTCACGCGGAACGCTTACCGCTCTTCCTTTTCTTCTTTCAACAGAAGCACCATTGTCTTCACCTCTATCATTGTCGCTCCCTTGATCTTGAACTCTTTCCCCTGCACTGCAGTCACTTGCCTCACTATCGTCGCCGCCATCGTCTTCATCCTCCACTAGATGGCGCTTTGTAACGGCGCGCGTCCTCCTCGGCCGCAAATCGAGCACTTCTTCATCCTCGACATCGTCAAGCTGATCCCCATCACTTTTATCTTCGCACCAACTGGCGCAAAGGCCGATCAGATCCGGTAATAACGCCTTGATCTGAGGTCTCCATTGCGCTTTTAGGTCCAAAAACTCCACGTCGAAATGAACTGCGAGTTTCTCAATCACCATTTTTAACGTTGCTGTATCCGCGTGCATTGAAGGCAAAATGTCGTGCAGTGCCTGTACGATGGATTGCTCAGTAATTGTCGACTTCATTGACGCTAGTGATGCGTTGGCTGGCGCTCTTGACTGCGCTTTGAGCATCGGCACAGAAAAATAGTCTATCTGATGTGCGTGGCTGGACTCCGAGTAGGTTCGACAAAACTGCTACAAAACCGATAAATTTGAATTGTTTCCCTATTATGCTCAAAAGATAGAGCAGAAAGAGACCAAACGTGATGAGACAATTTGTCAGCGACGCAATGCGGTTCCCTAAACGTGATTCACATTGGTTTAGCTGCATGATAAATATTGGGACGGATAAAAGCGGAATGACAAAGTCTCACTCTTTTCTTTTTATCTTAAATGCACACCTTTTTGTGCCCTCGATATCCGCACTGCTCGCACCAAACAAGGTATTTTTACACCTCACCTCGTACCGAATTCACTTTATCAGTCCAAATAGCAATTTTCGGGAGTTATTATATTCGTCCAGTCATTCCTCGGATAACTCATAGGCTGGGTAAAGACAAACTCTTTAAATTAGCCGAGTTACGAGCTACGTAAATTTACGGTTTTCTCGTTTTTCGTATAGGAAAAATTAGTAAATATGCGGTTTCCCCTTCTTAAATTTTATATATCCATGTCCCGAGTACTGTCACCAATGCACAAATGCTCAAAATTTGATAGCACAAGGCCTAAAATATAAAAATGAGCCAGAGTGTGCTATCAAACTTGTAATTTTTTCAGCAAGTTTGGAGTTCAGATCACACGAAACGATACCTTTCTCATAATCATTTACCGCACTGTAATAATATGTAATAGGGGTAACGCATTTTCCGCCAAACGCCCGACAGTCGCTCACAATTAAGAAAAGGAGCAAGACTTGTCAACTTGGGTGCTTTAATGCCAAACAAGGAATGTTTACTTTGTTATAGAAATCACCGAGGTCAAGCCTTTGATGTTTTCATCGCCTAAACCTACCTGATGATACCATTAAGTTATCCAGAGGATATTCGCAGTGCCCGTAGTATAGAAACAAGCTGCGCAGCAGCAGGATTTACAGCGAGAGTGGATCAGCAAATGAGAAACCATGGATGCATTACTGCCTAGGGTTTAGTCTGTAATTGCTCGCTATGAGGCCACAGTTGAGTAAAAAAACTCAAACTTAAATTTGAATTATAAGAAATTGTAATACTGGCTGATGTTGTACAACGCTAGAAATGATTCAGGTCTATTCAAAAGATAAATTAGATTAGACTGCTGCGTAGAAAATGATTTAGGATCTCGAGAATGAGGAGGTCAGAGTTGACATCATCCTATAAAAATTATAAGGGTTACAAAATTATAGGTATAGTAGCAGTTTACTTACCGATCCTATTTGAATACAGATCTCTGTAGTTCTTTACAGCCAGTGCAGATGGTACTACAGATTTCCATCCGTATGGCTGCCACTACCGAGTGCTCACAAAAGTGTATTAACACGAGCAAAGTACACCCAGACACTTACTTCCCCTCGAATAAGCTATTTATTCAGGAGTTTTGTAACGGAGCAGCCCGTTACATGATATTGACACCAAACATTGTCAGTAGGGGAGTTTGTCTAACGTGACAATCCCTATCAATGTTACCCAAGATAGTTAATTTAAAAGGAGTATCATCCCCTTGGTAGGATGATATCCATGCGCTGCTCAAAGGTTGGTTGATAAAGACATACCAACCACCAATCGCTGCTAGACGCGCGTAATGAGTGGTGAGCAGGTATTCGTCACACGACAATGTAGATTAATATATTTAGATAAAGACTGAAGTTATATTGATAGCTTCACTATATTAAATACAGTTCTCTTTTTACTCTTTACTCAAACTAGCTGTATGAGTAGATTAGCTTTCTCTGCATGTACTTGTGTACGTGAAGTTTCGTGGCACCCCAAACAAAGGATGCCCCGTTGAAAATTTTTTTTGCGTTGCACAGGAGTATTCTCGAATGATTTTTGTCCTTCGGAAACCTAACAAATTTCTGATGCTTATGAGCTAAGAGTTATGAGTTAGTGACCATAAAACGAGCATGGTGGAACACAATTTGCATGAGTTATATGAGTTACGAGGGTATGAGTGATCCGAGAAATGAATGTATACCTTCATTTATATACATTCCCTTTTGATCCACGTATGTACGTTGGCAAAGCGAGGTAAATCTTATAACGGGGAGTTTTAATGTAAGGATAAAGACCTTATATATGAGTGTATAAAACTACATTTTAAACAGCCGATTGCAACACTCCTTATATATGAGTGTTGCAATTGGCCGTTTATAATGTAAAAGGGCGACCCTGAGAAAATCGAGTAATATCGGTTCCAAGGTCAAACGTGCACTTTTTACAAACCAGTGCATGCAACTATGCAAATTTATTAATGTTGATAATTATCTAAGATAAAGGAGCAAGGTCTGGAGCTTGCCCTTTGAAATTGATAATTAAGTTCTCGTTATTGGATAAAGTTCTTCGTTCCCATGTACCTTGAATTCATTTAGTAATAGCTTCACCCTTCGGGCTCGCAAACTGCCTATTGATCGATGAGGAGGGAAAATATCTACATTGCACCTAGTACGACGTGTAGGGTACACCAAGCGTTTATTTGCAGACGCATGCAAAGGAAGGACATTCTACATCGCACTTAGTATGACGTGTAAGGTACACTAAGCGTTATCCACGACACAATAGGTGACATACTACGTCGAGCTTAGTGCGACGTGTGAGGTATGACTGACTTCATTCACATATTAATTTACCCCATATGTTTGCAGACTGAAAGTTTATGTGAGCTACATGAACAACTACGGCTAACTATCAAAACGACTTTATTTTTGGTCTAATTTGTTTGGCAACTTTTATAACACAGACAAGCTTTTTTGAGGTATTGGCAGTGATCGCTCATTTTTGAACTTTCAGTATCCGCGATGCCTCGAAGTCCGGTCGCGCCAAACGTGCACGCTGCGAAGCGCTTTGTAGCCGGGGGGGGGGTTAAATTATTCGGACACATGGAGAATTGCTCAAAACACTTTCACAGCAACAATGGGGAATTCCAGCTTCGTCGTTCGTGCGTGTAGAAGATCTGGTGCATGCTCCATCATTCTCAAGCTCTCATCACCCAAATACCACCAGCCACACGTCGAGAAAATTGGTCTCCGATCGAGGTGGCGTCCGCTATATAGACCGTCTCTCTCTGCCAGAGGCAACCATTGCGTGCGCTAGAGAGCTAGACTGGAATCTTGAAGTAAACTTTTCACTGCTACGTGAAGTCGGACATCCTAAGCCGCTTCTTTTGTCGCGCGAGTCCAACGTTGACGGCAATACACAAGCATAAGCGACTCAGTTTTTCCCTCAGCCAATTGTAGAGACCTTCAAGTAACGATAACGCTGATAAATTTTGAACTTTATTGAATGATAACAACATCGCTAACACGAACTAATGCTTGTGAATAGGTCTAATGCCTTTTTAAAAATGTGTGATTTTGTTCATGTAGATGAGAAATGGGTTAATTTTTCAAGGCAAAGACTCGTTGTTACCTTGCTAGAAATGAAGTTTCAACATATTGCTCTACTCGACAAGTGATATATCAGCAGAGTGATGTTATTGGACACCGTCATGCGGCCACGGTACGACTCTTACAGGAAGGCTAAGTTTGACGGGAAGATCGTCACATGACCTATCGTCATTACCGCACCAGCGAAGTGTTCTTATGCTAACCGTATTGCTGAACCTTTTGTCATACATAACGTCACTATGACGCGCAACGTCTACGTCCGCTTGCTTAAAGAGAAATTGTTCCCAGCCATCAAAAAACTTTGGCCAGGTATTTTTTAAATACTTTATTTATTTCCGCGATGTGTGCTAATTTACGTTGATTATCAAAATGTGTAAAGGTGGCCGATTGTCAACAATCAAGGTTAAACTCGACAACGCAGGGCCGTAAGTATCGAAGAACAGTGCTGGCATCTTATATGCAGGGAAAGAAGAGAGCTGAAACATCGTGATACTATGCCAGCGGCCACGATCCCCCAGACTTGAATGTGTCGGACCTCGAAGTATAAAACTCTCTTCATCGATGCAGTACCAGACAGAAATCCACATGACCGGAGCACTGATAGATGCTGTTAATGGGCGTTCGAGGGAACATCAGCGGACACAATCGACGAGACTTTCTTGACGCTGCAAAATGTGATGAAAATGGTAGTCGAGAGAACGAAGGTGGGATACTTAATTGGTAATTGATAAAACGAAAATGGAATACATTTCAGATGCCGCATGCTAAGATGATTCATTTTGCCCGTGAAGCGCATCCCTCGTCGCCGCCGATCGCTTCTGAGCTTGTTTGTCAAAGGTTATATTCTTTGTAAAGAATAGACAATTTGAGTTTTAAGCAATAACTGATGACGAACAAAATGAGTGTTTTGTTGGCTTACATCATCCCATTTTTATCCATTTTCGGACATATCCAGCCAAAATACCATGATGGCCTTACTTCTGTTTGCATCACTTCCGCATTTTTTGTATTTAACTGTTAATCAAATTCTCATACTGCTTTCTGAATAAGCGAAATTTCTTCCTTAAGTGAATTCCAACATCTATATAGTCAGCTGCATAAGAGAATCTAGAACCTCTGAAAGACGATCATACTCATGCTTTGCTATTTTTGCGGTATCATCAGTTCATTGAGCTATAAACTTGCAGAAATGCTTTAGAATGAGCTTTTTGCGCTGGTGGTATTTTCTTTTAAAAATACGGGCTGGCAAAACATGCAAGCTGAACGCGTGGTGAGTCGTTTATGATTGGGACAGAGTAATACACAGGAGATGAACGACTACTTCGCACTTATTAAGACGTTTATAGTACTCCTAGCGTAATTTACTGACAAATGGGCACAGAAAAAAAGACAAACCGATAAGCACGATTTAAAAAATTGGTATGCAGCTTGCGCATAGTCACTTAGAGCTTTACCTCTCGATCTCGGAAATTTTGTTGTCTATTGCAATAGGCAATGCTATGCTCGAATG